CACTGTGTGTATTCTCCCCATCTGTGCATGGTTGCTATTCCGCTGCTTATCTCTGGTCTGTGTACAGTTTGGACTCTGTCTCTCCTCCCCCTTGTTTTGTGCATGTATGGGCATGTGTGAGATACCTTGTGTGTGAGTGGCGAGAAAATTGTCAGACAACCAAGTTCATAACAGTTGGTATCAGAGCGGACATTGGACTCGGAGCACTGAGGGTTGAGCGCAACAAAGGCACCTGCTCCTTCTGGCTCTATCTGGCGAGAAGCTACATGTTGAAGCTTCATCTTCAGTGAAGATACAGAGAGGGGAGCAAGTATACAAGCGGTGAATTTAGAGATCTAGTGTGTGATTGATCAGGCGCACTGAGCCTGTCTGAGCGCCTGACAGGATTTGGCGAGAACAAGGGTATTTCGCCATCCACCCTTCTGAGCCCAGTTGATGACTGAGTTCAGGGTGGCGAATTACACCCTAATCCAGTGATAATTGGGTGGCGGCATCAAACCCAGTAGAGCGCTGAGGGAGAATTGATTGCAGGATCAATCTCCTGCTGAATTAGCCCTAAACCGGGGCTAAATTTAGCACCAGCGGCTTAGCTTTGCAGTGGCGAGATATCTTCAGGAGAGTTCTCTATCGCCACTGGGTCTGAATCTGAGAGTGGGGGTTGAATCGCCACAGGATACTGAGCAAGATCAACAAGTTTCAGGAGATTCTACGAGTGGAAAATAGTGGAGGAGTGTCTGCATGAAAGTGGCGAGATCAGGGTTCTGTCAGCCATAGCCAGAACTTCATCATCCACTGGAGCAAACAGTGCAAGTGAGTGTGTTCCGTGTAAATCCCTGAGTAGCGATTAGTTTAGGAACAATAGAGTCGGAATTGATGGTCTGTCTGTCAGTAGGGTCTCAATTTTGAAATTGCCAGACTGCAAGACAACCATAGCCATCTTCTTCCTCCCTACCCTGACCCATATCTCACCATCTGTTGACTCTTTCTGACTCAAATTTGTTCTGGGACTGTATGACAGTATTGCGCTGCACCCCGTATGATCATTCTGTGACTTCTGTACAGAAAAAGTAGTGAAACAGTGAATCTTAGTTTTGCGCCGAGTCTATTTTTAGCCTGTGCTAGCTAGGGTCAGTCAGAACTTAGATTTTGTCCGTCAGAATTCAAGTCTGTCAGTCTGGGGTGAATCACAATTCAGTATTTGACATTCCTGCCAAAGCGCTAGCCCAGTATTAGTGAATTTGAGTAGATACAGAGAAATACTGAAAATCGTTGTGTCAGTGGGTATTTTTGTTGATGTCAACAGTGGCAAAATTTGAGTTTAGGGCTGTCAGGGTCTAGCCTACTGCATTGCTACTACTTGTTGCTCTGTTTTAGTTAGTTCTTGCCTGTATCTGTCTCTACCACTGATTATCTTTGTGTTCTGATGGGCTCTGGAATGTTAGTGAACTCTGGAATGCACTGAAACTGGATGTTTCAATTTCAGTGATGGTTCAGTGTCAGGTATAGGAAATCGTTCGTGAATGATTTTACTGGACCTTCAGTCTGCCTGATTACTGACCCCAGTGATTGTGTTCTAACCCTAACCGCTTGTGCCTACCATCCCACCTTACCCTGTGAATTGATAGTGCA